ATTACAATCGCTTCCAGTAATCATATCATCATTCAAATGATACATTTATTCAAATAAGCTGCTTCCTCTTTTAGTCACAGACACACACACACACAAATATGTATACATAAGAAAGCTCTACCAAACACTTCCACTATTCATTGACATTGAAAGTTTGTCAATTGTGTCCCTCTTTTTTTTAAAAAAAGATGGTCAGTGAGTTAAACAGTCCCGTCGGGGATATATCTCTATATGTCCAGTAAATAAATTTAGCAGTAACCTAACAACAGTATTGTAAATAATATAAACCACTGTTTAATTGAAGTAAAGAATAATGGTAATAAAGAAAGTAGTCAGTTTTACTAAAATTAATGAATTTCAACTACAAACATTAATTATTATTATTATTTTTATTATTATTGATTTGTAATTATAACCATTCCCGAAATTCCTACGAGCACCACCTTCATGAATACCATTATTATTATTATTATTATTATTATTATTATTATTATTATTACGACTGTCATTAATTATTTAGTGTCAGACATAAATTACACATTTATTATCATTTAAATATGCTAATAAAAAAATGACTAGTTAATACAAGTATTATTGATAATTTATTGGTTAGTAGTATATAAGTGAAATTAGGAAAAATCCTTAATATGATCAGTAGTAGTAGTAGTGTTTAAGATGAGGAAATAGGATTTTGTTAGAATAGATAGATTGTATCCAGTAGTAGAATCCAAGGAGTATGTTTCACTTTAATTTGAACTCGTTCGTTTGATGTACATACATTGTTCGAGTGTTTATATTCACTTTGAGAATGTGACAACAACAACAACACACACACACGTACACGCACCTTATTAAGGAATATGTCATTCAAAGTCTCTAATGACAAATTATAATTATTGTAATGACTTGTTTATTTTTACCGAGGGAGATACATTTATTCTAATATAGTTCAAACCAATAGTTAATAAATTCATAGAATAACTCAGTATAATATTGTCACAAGTCTTGCTATTCAGCTGAAAATAACTTAGAGCCTAAGATATATATACACACATCGGTCTAAGCTAACATCATCATATAAGCACAGAGCGACGAAAATGCCACTGTAATAGTAGTAGTAGTAGTAGTAGTAATAGTAGTAGTAGTAGTAGTAGTAGTAGTAGTAGTAGCAGTAGTAGTAGTAGTAGTGGAAATAATAGTAGTGTGGTGTATGCTACTTACATCGACAGACATAAATAGTTTGTAACACGAATCGGGAGTGGAAAACCCGGCAGCAGAAGGCTATGAAGGTCGACTTGAAGAAAACAGAAATGGAATTAGAAGAGAATTGTGAATCAAAAGAATCATACAGAATTTGAAGGATAAATGATGGAAATCTCCAAATAAAGTATTCAATGTATGGTTCTCATATATTACCAAGAGATTCTGTAATTTTGTATTACAATACAACTGGTTGTCCTCACCTATATTCTCATTCATTACAGTAGTAATAATAGTAGTGTGTGTAGTAATGGTAATGCCAGTGATACCACAATAACATTACGACTTTAGAATATGATTCATCTTGTAAAACATTTCCGATATTTCGTAATACGTTTATATAATAAATAAGAACTTTCGTCTAAATTTGAACGAATAGTTTCATAATATTTGGGCGCCGAGTTAATGTGAGACATTAAAGAAGAAGAAGAAGAAGAAGAATGTATTTGTAAATTCTCAAATTCGTTCGCTGAGCTTTTACTGAACATTCTTCTTCTTTAGGTTTATATCAATTGTAAAAGCATTATAAAAATATTTTTTATTTGAAATAATCCTGATATCGATGTGTTCACTATTTCCCTGAAGAAGTATGAACCAATTCGCTAAGTGAAAGATTGAAATTATTTGAATTGCAATCTCAGAAATGATTACAAGTATAATTTGCCCGTCAATGAGAGTTGAAGGAACATGATCATGAAATACTACTTATCCCTTCCTATTCTACGTGGTTCCACTATTCAAAATGTAAAAGTATATGTTTTTTTTTAAAAAAAAATCTCTGCAATTTTCAAATGAGACATCTTTATTTACAAAGAAAAACCCCATTAAAGTATGTTAATATTTGTAACCATAGTGGTTAGTGATTAACTTAGAGATAAATTATACGTATGTATAATGAAGTTATAGCGGAAATTAGAATTTAGACAGTTTCTGTCATATACTACTTATCATCATCATCATAATAATTATATCTTAATTAATGTCTGCATATCTTTAAAGTTCATTATTTTTTTTATTAAATTAACGACATTAAATTCAAATGATGAATTTATCAAATGTAATTAATGAATAAATAATGATTTATATTTACTGGTTAAGATGTAAATGGAGGAGTGAACCTGGACATGACAATAAGGTTGGAAAGCTTAGAAACTTTAAGATTACTGAATATAATAAAAATGCTTTCTACAAAACTATACTTTTAAGCTAATACCTATTCATTATATATTTTGTCGTGGGTAGATGTTTTGCTACTCGGAGTATCTCTGATGAACATTTGTTGTTGAATATACATCTGGAAAATTAAAGATTATACTAAAATTTACATGAATATAATGCTCAACTTTTACATAGTGTTCAGGCTTAGGAAGTATGTTTGTTGAATTAATTCAAATGGTTTGTACACTTGATTATGGATATATCAATTGCTTCTAAGTCATGATAAACTATATTTCCTCGAATATCTATAATAGACTAATTATATATCTTATTATGCTTCACGCTTACTGATCTGTGTATGGATCTTGAAAATATTTGCATCACATGTATGAACTGAACTTAAATACATTATTCTCATCTAGAACAGAGACAAAAATCATTGTACTGAGGGATCTTCTTTAGAAAGAAAAAAAAAACCTTGAGATTCTATATATTGGCCTTATACACAATGGGAGATGTTGTATTTTAGAGAAAAATGATTAACACTACAATTCATATCTCAAACATTCATTTATCAAATACAGATTTATATAATCGATTTCAAATTAGTGAATATATCTAACTAAAAACAAATGAATGTAATTGAAATCAGATTACTGCTTTTACTCTTATTTCCTCTACTACTACGGGATTTGAATCGACCACTGCATCTCTGTGCTAATGTGGTGTGGCAGCTCGAACTGATGTACGTACGTACGAAGTTCTACATTGTTACTGACAGACTGATATAGGTTATTACCCTGAAGAAGTCCAAACAAGTTTATTGAACGAAACGCTAGAATTATTTAAACTTCAATTGCTGCGACTATTTTAAACATAATATTCAACACTATTGTTTTTACAGTTGAATTCATGAGTCAGTTGAAGCTAGACCAATATGGAAAACTTGGAAACACTAGATGGTCGTTTAGTCCTAGTATGAGAATCTTTAGCAGTGTGCATCCACGATCCTGCTTTGCGAGATTCCAACCCAGGACCTATCAGTCTCGCGCGCAAACGCTTAACCTCTAAATCACTGAGCTAGCCGGGAACCAACGGTGTTAATACTATTGAGAAGCAGTGATCAGTGGAGTCCAACCAGGTCAGTTGTGAGATAGTAAATCACTGAAGACCATGGTGGACGGTGGAGCAATTTCGTGGATTGGTTGAAGTTAGACATCAACATCGTTGAATGCTGGCCAGCTCAATAGTCTAGAGGTTAGGCGTTCGCGCACGAGACTGATAGGTCCTGTGTTCGAATCTCGCGAGGTCCGATCGTGGATGCGCACAGGTGAATCCCACAGTAGGTCTAGTTCAATTGACTCATGGGTTCAACCACTGTTTTTGTTTTCTTCAAGGGGGATTAATAAATTTCCTTTTTTCTAAATCGAAACATATGAAAAGTAATATATTATGATTTGATTTATATTGAATGTTATCAAAAAGTAATAATAATAATAATGCCATGATACAATTTTAAGTTATATCTTATTAAAGTCTACATTTCTAGGAATGTCTATTTTTCTTTCTCTCAAGAAAGAATTAAGATTTATTGTCAATGTAACAATATGTCACTATTTGTTCAAAGTTGATCTTACTTTTTTTTGATCCAAAGAAAAAATAGAAAGAAAAATGTTAATCGTTACATTCAAGACGATTTATTTATTGATAAAGCAGATAAAAAAAAATATTATGTGCACAAAATGAAAACTTTATCTTGAAATAATCTTAACCTAATAGAACTAGATCATTCAAATGTTTCAAGTGATTCTAAGAGAAATTTCAGTATATTGATATGATGACTAGTAATGGAATCTAGGACATATGTTCAACTCCATTTCGAATCAGAAAACTGAATACATTTACATTCTAATATGTTAATATTCACGTATATTCATTGTTGATTGGATTGATAGGTAAAAATCCTTCTTCAATGGTTAAGATGCCGGCTCAGTGGTCTAGTGGTTAAGTGCTCGCGCGCGAACTCAGTAGATCTTGGGTTCGAATCTCACAGGGTTGAGGTCTTGGATGTGCTTTGCTGAGGAGTCCCACAATAGGATGGAACTGCCGTCCAGTGCTTCCAGATTTTCCATGGTGATCTAGCTTCAAGTGACTCATGATCTTAACCATTGAAATGAATATAATATCCACAAAACCCATCTGATAAAAATCCTTTTTCTCTGAAAAAAAATAACTATCAGAATAAGATTGATTGAAGTTATACTTGTACATTATTGGATCCTGGATCAGTCGTTGTGTAGTTAAAAATTAATATATGAGACTGAAGGGATTGGCTCTAATTACCGGTTTTTGGAGCCACACAGTCATCCATTGCTTCCCAGTTGTCAATAGTTTACTAACTTAGATCGATTTGTGCTTTTTAAAAGTCACATTTATTACAAACTACCTCCAAATTATTTCGAATATATATACAGGGAGAATGACACAAATAATCATCAATTTTAATCTAATACAATGATGACCTTTCTTTTTCAAACTGTAAAATTTCAATTTTCAATTTCGAAAAAAAAAATTTGACTTACTTGTCGACTAACAAGAACACCAACAGTAAATAAACCAGCTGTCAACCATGCTACTACATGCTCTCTAGTTAAACAAGCTGAAACTTGATCGGATTTCGATGTGAACATCATACTATATCTTTGTTGTTGACAATAATCATGATTATGATAATGATGATTTATAGTTGTTGACCAACTACCATTATCACGTTTCATACCATTAGTTATTGTTTGATTCAATGTATTCTGAAAATTTAGTTGATACTGTTGTTTTACATTTGTAGGTGTTGTATTTAACGCTGGATTGTTTAGAGTATTATTATTATTATTATTATTATTATTATTACTAGCATGATGCTTTTTTGTTGAAGGATGCATCAGTCTTTCATTCATAATAATTTCTGATTGATTCCAATTTAATGAATTTTCTGAACAGAAACAAAATGAATTAATTGGGAAACAATAACAATTTGATTCAGTATTCATTTCATCAATATGATTTAATTGTTTATTATCATTACTACAAATATTTCCACTATTATTACTACTTAATTGTAATGGATGAGTATTACAACAACTAATACATGATGTAATCATACTAATTCTTTGTAAAGCCCAATGAATAACAAGCATTGTCCACCAAATATAACTAGCTATAGAAAAGAAATATTGTATTATAAATATAAATACACATAGACCATTATCTAAACCTTCTTGTAATCGAATTCTTTGACCAGAATCTAAATCTTGTCCACATGTTACATTAGATTGACCTAATATTAAACTTAAACCAAATCCTAATGCATAAAATAATTGACATAATGCAATATAAATAATTGGTTTTTCATTGAAACGAAAATCTTTTAAATTCATTATATAACGTATTAATGTAAATATTGTCATTAAACTACAAATACCAGCTAATATACTAGTCCACATAATGGATAAATGTTTAGCTTCTGTTGTATAAAGTATATTAGATTCACATAATGGAGCACATCGTCCAGTACGATTAATATATACATAAAATATTGATTTTTTAAAATGTGAACAATAACGTATAGATTGAGCTAATTGTGGCAATGATAATGGATATTTATTTATATGTGATGTAATTAAAGTATTAGGAAGAAATTGTTTATTGATTAAGAATTCATTGGTTAATTTCTCCATGATTTGATTTAATTCTAATTGTTCTTCATTATCTTTTGTTTCTTTGATTGTTATTTGTTGTTTCATTTGATTGTTATTGATTTTTTCATTGTCTAAATTGATTACTTGTAACATTTGTTTCATAGATGGATCTAATGGTAGATCTTTATGATTTGGTTTATTGAATTTATCATTTAATTCTAGATTATTATTAATACTACTACTACTACTACTACTACTGATTACACTTTTCAATGAATTTATATCTTCTTCTAAATCTTCTGGACCTTCCATACACATTGCACCACCAACACTATTTTTTATAGGAAATCGTGAACAATTCAAATTTTCTGGCCAATTAAAATCAAATACTCTAAGAAATGGTGCACATCTTGCACGTACATGTTCACATAATGGACGACATGGTCCAATTAAATAATGTGTATTTACATCACACATTGGTGTATAAATAGAACATAAGAAAAAATTTAATTTTGATGAACATTTATAAGTGATTAATGGTTTAAATGTTTGTAATTGATGTCTTGCATCAAATTGTGTCTCTTGTCCTATTAAATTTGGCATACCAGTATAATTATAAAATGTATTTTGACATTCTGGTATTTGTATTAATACCGGTTTCATACAACGTTGTTGACCATAAATTGTTGTTGTTGTTGTTGATGTTGTTGTTGTTGTTGCTAATGTTGTTGCTAATTTAAAACATAAACTATGTAAAAGTAATATAATTAACATGATATTAATAATTTACAATATTCCTGTCATATGAAGGATATACATGATATGATAACTTCACAAAAATCCATTTATTGATTTACATAGATTTTAATCATTATCATTGATTTATTATTCATTGAGATCATCATTTGATCAATGTGAATTGAATACGATCCAATTGAGTTCAGAAAAAGATCGTAAAAAACAAACTAACTAACTAGATTATTTGTCTTATGGATAAATATTGTTTGTACAATATGACAATAATCAGAATTGTTTACAAAATATTTGATTTATTTATTATCATTATCACCAACCATTTCAGTAGACATCATTTTACTGTGTGTATGTGTGTTGTGTGTGTGTGTGTTGTGTTGTGCCTCTATTCAATCATAATATGATTGGCAGCTTTAAAAATAAGATTAATGGAGATTGGATGAAAAGTTAACCTCATCGTTGATTGGTCCATTAAAATCATGTGACTGTACATTAAATAAATAAATATATACCTGAGACAATGATATTTGAACAAGTGAACCAATCAAAATGTGACATGATAAACAGTTGCATATTTCATTTCAAGTTGATTAATGTCCATGGTAAATTAGATTTCTTTTTTTCTTTTTTCTTTTCTTTTTTTTCTCTGAAAATGGAAAACAGGTAAATCAGTGATTTATGATGAAGTTTATTAAGGGTTTGAATAATTTTCCTGGTTAGCGTTTTTTTAGCGAGTTAGTTTTCTAAGGGATGGGGTCGCTAAACCCATGCCTAACCCTCCTCCTTTATCCGGGCTTGGGACCGGCAGTAGCCCCCGGAGGGGCAGAGTGGGTTGGGGGAATGCTGGTCAGCGGCCTATGCTCCATTAGGAGTAACAGGTGTATGTAAGTAAGCTATTAAGGGTTATTAAATGAAAGAAGTGAATAATAGATTGTACTGATAAGAAGGAATGAAGAAAATAATAACAAAAAAGAAACAGTATAGAGATTGTGGAAACTGTTGAATTTTATTGAGATCATGAACTGATTTAAGTTAGATAATCATCAATGACCAATAAGCACTGGAGAGCTGTTTTACTCTACTATGGAACTCTTCAGTGGTGAACATCAACGATCCTGTCGCTGGAGATCAAACTTAAGACCTTCAGTGATTCATATGAACATTAAACCTTTAAATTATTGAGCTGAGATCCAGCAATATACAAGTGTAACCTCAATCAATCAGGGATAATGAGCAACTATCTTTCATTGCTTCTTTGTTACAGACTTTCCTCATAGTAGACACGTCTAAAAACCAATAGTCTTGACTTTTCACTAAGATAATTATTCAGTTGAAGAACGAATTAATTAATTAATTAATTTGTAAATAATAAATCGAAAGACTTTTATTGTTTTTCTGATAGAAGTCTATCTCACTTAAAGTTTTTATTGATGATGTTATCCACAAAGATTATGAAAGTTCCACGATTAAACCAATCAATTCAATGAATCACAATCACCCCACTTAAGTTATAAATCTTCTCCAGTATCTTATAGACCATTTTCATCGAGTTTTAATAAACAAACCAAACAACAGTTGAGTTTATACAATAAAATGATGATACCAAGTCAATGATTCAAGATAAAAATCACTAGACTTGATTTACTTATCAATCTACTGATTTCAGTCTTAATTTGATTGGATCATTGTCCATGTTTCAAAGACTGATTATTTTAAGGTTCATTATTTTCATGCTTAATATTTCAGATAATTAACCTGAGAGAAAAGCACCTATTTTATTGGTCAGTTGTCTCTTTTTGTTTCCGGAGCTTTGTGTATCGATGAAACACATCTAAGGACTCATTTCAGTTTGAATAATTTAACAGTCTTCTTAATTCTAAGATGATAAAATTTGACTAGTTTATCTACAAGAAACTTTCTTCTTTGTGTTTTCATAATTTAAATTTATCCCACTCAAATATTATTGTTATTATAATTCACTTGTAAACACTTAAGAAATTGATTCCTATCTGTGGTGTATGCTACTTATATCGGTCGACATAAGTAGTATGTAACACCAATCGAAAATGGAATCCCAAGCAGCAAAAGATAAAGATGATCAAATTAAAGAGAACAAGAATGTAAACAAAGTTTAATTGTAATAACAATGAACGAATGATCAAGTTTGAGGCAATTGATGTAAAATTTACAAATGAAGTATTTAATGTATAATTTTCACAATTTATGAAAGAATTCTATAATGATTCATTTCATAATTATTTCATCCTATATGATTACATAATATTTAACCAAGTATTTGATCTAATTTGTAATTTATTTCACTGTTCATTTGTTAAGATTTATTCAGTGAGACTATAATTTATGGGTAACTTTTGAGCAATGCCAAAGTGACCTTGAGGGTGTCTATCTATCTGAAGTTTGTGCTGATGATGTCGTTCACAAGAAAAATGAAAGCTCCACAATCAAACCATCCAGTTTAGAGAACAAACCTCCATCAAAATTGTCTACCTACTTAATAAAACTAAATGAGGGTTATAAAACAATTTGAAGAATATGGATCAAGATTTACAATTGATGGTTAGAATTAGGAACTAGATTTATAAATTTTCATCATGATCTGATATTAGCTAAAATGTCAAGATGCTATTTGGGCTAAATGAATGAATGAATTTCGCGCCAAAATCCAAGACCTATTATCCTTAATCTGATTGATTCGTTTATAACTTATAGTTCCGTCATTTATTGTAATTATTATACTCATTAGACATAAATTTTTATGTTACATTACATATGATTTTATTCTATTATTATTAGAAATTTTGTTTTTTCCTAAATTTTTCTGTTGTCTTAGCAACAATTATTTGAATTTAGAATTGTGGTAATAAACAAGAATCATTGTTTATGTATTTGTTTTTAATATAAAAAAGAAATAAAGGGATATTTTAAAGTAATCACACTTCATTTGGACCGTTTTTTTTCTTCTTCTTTTTATGTATACTAAGTAGTTATCGTCATTAACTGTCAGTGATCTAATCAAAATTTCAAATATTCTATGTTTCAAATTGTTATATCCTGAAGAGAATTATGAATGGTAACTTTTGTGAACTATTTATGGATTAATACGATGCATATGCTTTTATTGTATAGTTGTTAAGTAGCTAAACTATGCATTATTCATGTTCCTCTTATTATAAGCTTTATGTTGACCCAGAGACTATTATTATATGACTTACAATTCTTGAGTTATACCCAGTCTATTAATTAGTGTATCCCATATTCACAGTCACTTTTGGTTAGATCTTGTACAAATGTTATTTCCTAGTTTGTGGTGTGATGTTGTCTGTTTGATTTGTATATAAACCCAGTATGTTTCAAATACATGATTTATATTGCGGAGGCTAAGATTGATGTTTTGGACTCAACAGGCAGGGCTATGGGGAAGAATGCTCAATAATGACTCTAGACTGCTCATACGGGTTTTATACGTCATTAGTCCGTCCGATAAATCACTGTTCTCTAATTAGCATTATCATTACATTGTATATTAATAGGGCACTAAACCACAAGTGATAACACAACTGTAGAAATATTTCAATAGACCTGCCTGTTTAAAGTTTATTTTCATTGAATAATGATAAATACGGAATGTGTAGACTTCAAATATTGTCAAAGAAATCTTATTATCTGCTACTGTACAAAAATAGTGAACAATTCAAACAAAAACACTTCATTAATTGTCAGAGTTTTCTTTATACTTCTAAGAAAATGAAATGGCACTGTAATGAACAAGAACACCAGTGAGGACAGTCGGACGTATTTAACACAAAATTACAGGACTGTAGTAATAAAATCTAACAATCATAAAGTAAATGCTTAATTTGCAAAACGTCCACCAATTGTCTCAAAATGACTCAGACTTCATTGTTCTTGCATTTTCATACAAATTGCATCCTGTTTCCATTCTTCACTGTTCGATGCTCTTGTCTCTCTGCTGCCAGACCTCCTGTTCATGACTAACATCATATACTACTTATGTCGATATAAGTAGCACACACCACAATAGTACATTTGTAATTCATCTAATCAATATTATCCTATATGAAACAAATAGTTGTAACAGCTGTACTTGTAGGAAACTTTTCACATAAATCATAAATAGCAGACACTAACTCTTCGAAAAATATTTTCGAAATGTTTTTTTGTTTTATTTTGAATAATGAAATTTTTCAATGTTTGATGAACATAAATGTGTTAAAATATTCCATAAGTGATAGGGGAGTACTATAACAAACTGTTGGAACGGTTTCAGGAAGCACGACGAAGAATCTAGTGTCTCTAAAGGAGCCAAAGAGATTCCATCCAATCAGAACTTGTTAGGGCATTCTAGAATATCAAGGTGGCATTATACAATTGAACGATAGTATAGCTTGCCTCCTTGAGGATTAGCTGAATTTTAATGATGTTATGTTCAATACTCACAGGTATAAATGCTCATGTTTTTCTGCAAATTTTTGATTCTTATCCGATAATTACTTCCTCTGTTTCTTCCCTCTTCTCATTTGCGACTGTGTGGTTCTACATGTTTGACTGCCATTAGTTATATATTGTATTCTGTTATAATCAAGTAGATGATGTTACACAAACAGAACTATTATTATTTCTAACCGGTTACATCGTACCACTGCTATTCATCTACCAACCAATATACCGTTAGTTAAATGTCTAGAATGTTCTCACTAAAACAAAACTTAAAACTGTCCACCAAAGCTCTAACACATAGCTGTGAGTAAAATGTGAATTTGAGTTCTCTTCTGAAAATCATCCTGACGTTTGGAATAATTTAATCCATATTAGGCCGAACATATCAATAGCAAGTTACAGCATAGTTATTTTGATTAAATCACCAATCTCATGTCATTAAAAGGTTAAAATTATAATTGTGTGTGTATATCCCCTTGTTTTTAGAAATCTTTTATTTGGCCTAAAAGAAAATGATGAAAACAATAGTGGAAGAAATTTCTGAATTTACGAAATATCATATAAAATAATGGTAGTACGTATTTTAATATACAAATCTTGTCTACTTATGAGTAGACATATTGTTTACAACAAATGTATCTGGAGTTTTAGGTGCACAGTGTTTGATTGATGATAGATGGTTGAATATAGTCTACAGAATATTTAACTCAACCTAGGTTTTATGCTAGTTTCCAATCACCATTACAATATATATATAGTCTTGATAGAACTGGTGCCTCCTTGTTGATTTGATTTTGTGTTACATTAC